CACTTTCACTATACATATATAATGTACATGAATAATCAATGAGGTTTAGAGAAATGTGTTCACATCGTCAAGTAAGATAGCAAGAATTGCCTCCCCTTGGCAAGTATCTCCATGACCTATTTATAAACCTATACCATCTTTACCTCTTTCGAAATTTTACGTTACTTCTTGTAATGTGTGAATCATTACCTCAACGACATGATTCTTTTCGACGAATGAAAAGTTATTACCATTTTCAAACTGTTAAAATTTGTTTTCAGCAACAATTATGTTGGAGTATATTACACTCGGGTGTATATAAAATGATTGTGTTGTCCTACTAATTTCCAGATTTCACTGCTAACAAACATACCACGCATAGGCTGATGATAATAACACACCACATGACAACAATAGGCTTTCATGGTTATTACATGTGATGCTTCCTTCTAATCATTTATATAAGTACAGTCGCCTTTTTCCACTGTTAAGTAAAGGTTACACAATGTTGATAGCATGTTCATAAAACTCATCATACGAATATTATGAGAGCTAAGATATTTTACAGACCATAAGATTCGACATGACACGTCCTTATAGCATGTAAGGTTTATAGAAAATTTTGCTGCATTCATCAACATTTTTTATTTAATATTAATTTCATACGAAGGAATATTTTATAAAACACATATCATGAGTTTCTAGATATAAAACCAGCAATCAAACCAATTTTAGTATAATGTGCTGTACAAAAATCTATAGATTCCGTCCACCAAGCTGAGGAATATTATGTTCCACAGGGATTTGATGTCAGTTCCCGATACAATGCACCACAGTCTGTATATATATGTGCATACTTATATAATTACAATATATGTATACAGTCAGAAGGAGTGGGAATTCTTGCCTGAGCTTCGTTCTATCGCGTTTGACCTATAACTGTACATACTTACACTGACCGAGAAAATACAATGGCCGTGCTTTATCTTAGTTTAGTGTGAATACGCACATTACTTCCAGAATTGTATAACATCAACTATCCTAGCTTAGAGACAAAATACGCCTTCTTTATAACACTGACGACACAACTGTCTTCTTTATAACACTGACGACAACTGTCAACGCTCAGAGACAACACACGTCTTCTTTATAACACTGACGACAACTGTCCAAGCTCAGAGACAACACACGTCTTCTTTATAACACTGACGACAACTGTCCCAGCTCAGAGACAACACACGTCTTCTTTATAACACTGACGACAACTGTCCCAGCTCAGAGACAACACACGTCTTCTTTATAACACTGACGACAACTGTCCCAGCTCAGAGACAACACACGTCTTCTTTATAACATTGACGACAACTGTCCCAGCTCAGAGACAACACACATCTTTATAATACTGACGACAACTGTCCCAGCTCAGAGACAACACACGTCTTCTTTATAACATTGACGTCAACTGTCCCAGCTCAGAGACAACACACATCTTTATAATACTGACGACAACTGTCCCAGTTCAGAGACAACACACGTCTTCTTTATAACATTGACGACAACTGTCTCAGCTCAAAGACAACACACATCTTCTTTATAACACTGACAACAACTGTCTCAGCTCAGAGACAACACACGTCTTCTTTATAACACTGACGACAACTGTCCCAGTTCAGAGACAACACACGTCCTCTTTATAACATTGACGACAACTGTCTGAGCTCAGAGACAACACACGTCTTCTTTATAACACTGACAACAACTGTCTCAGCTCAGAGACAACACACGTCTTCTTTATAACACTGACGACAACTGTCCCAGCTCAGAGACAACACACGTCTTCTTTATAACACTGACAACAACTATCCCACCCCAGAGACAACACACGTCTTCTTTATAACACTGACGACAACTGTCCCAGCTCAGAGACAAAACACATCTTTATGATACTGACGACAACTGTCCCAGCTCAGAGACAAAACACATCTTTATGATACTGACGACCACTGTCACAGTTCAGAGACAACACAGTCTTCTTTATAACACTGACAACAACTGTCCAAGGTCAAAGACAACACACATCTTCTTTATAACACTGACAACAACTGTCCCAGCTCAGAGACAACACACGTCTTCTTTATAACACTGACGACAACTGTCCCAGCTCAGAGACAACACACGTCTTCTTTATAACACTGACGACAACTGTCCCACCGCAGAGACAACACACGTCTTCTTTATAACACTGACGACATCTCTCCCAGCTAAGAGACAAAACACATCTTTATAATACTGACGACAACTGTCCCAGCTCAGAGACAACACACATCTTCATTATAACACCGACGTCAACCATCCCAGCTCAGGGACAAAACACGTCTTCTTTATAACACTGACGACAACTGTCCCACCCCAGAGACAACACACGTCTTCTTTATAACACTGACAACAACTGTCCCAGCTCAGAGACAACACACGTCTTCTTTATAACACTGACGACAACTGTCCCAGCTCAGAGACAACACACGTCTTCTTTATAACATTGACAACAACTGTCCCACCCCAGAGCCAATACACGTCTTCTTTATAACACTGACGACAACTGTCCCAGCTCAGAGACAACACACGTCTTCTTTATAACACTGACAACAACTGTCCCACCCCAGAGACAACACACGTCTTCTTTATAACACTGACGACAACTGTCCCAGCTCAGAGACAACACACATCTTTATAATACTGACGACAACTGTCACAGCTCAGAGACAACACACGTCTTCTTTATAACATTGACGACAACTGTCCCAGCTCAGAGACAACACACGTCTTCTTTATTACACTGACGACAACTGTCCCAGCTCAGAGACAACACACGTCTTCTTTATAACACTGACGACAACTGTCCCAGCTCAGAGACAACACACGTCTTCTTTATAACACTGACGACAACTGTCCCAGCTCAGAGACAACACACGTCTTCTTTATAACACTGACGACAACTGTCCCAGCTCAGAGACAACACACGTCTTCTTTATTACACTGACGACAACTCAGAGACAACACACGTCTTCTTTATAACACTGACGACAACTATCCCAGCTCAGAGACAACGCACGTCTTCTTTATTACACTGACGACAACTGTCCCAGCTCAGAGACAACACACGTCTTCTTTATAACACTGACGACAACTGTCCCAGCTCAGAGACAACACACTTCTTCTTTATAACACTGATGACAACTGTCTCAGCTCAGAGACAACACACGTCTTCTGTATAACACTGACAACAACTGTCCCACCCCAGAGACAACACACGTCTTCTTTATAACACTGACGACAACTATCCCAGCTCAGAGACAACACACGTCTTCTTTATAACACTGACGACAACTATCCCAGCTCAGAGACAACACACGTCTTCTTTATAACACTGACGACAACTATCCCAGCTCAGAGACAACACACGTCTTCTTTATAACACTGACGACAACTATCCCAGCTCAGAGACAACACATGCTTTTTTGTTTGTAAGTTTTTTTTATTTTGTTGCTGTTAAAAAAATAAAACAACAAAGCAAAAATTGACCAATTACAGAAAGAAAAAGAAACAAGAGGAGAAAACGGAAAATAAAAAAAGGTGCGATATCGTAAGTTACTAGACTCGACTTTAAGTATTCCAGAATTATCTCCCTTTAGTTAAATGACTGCTGTTTAAACTCATACACCACGTTGTAAGCTCACACAAAGATAAACAACCTAAACTGAAGTTGAAGTTCTATAGTGTACATTTGCTCTGGAATTTTATTTAGAAATACCTTTGTATTTTCGATTTATCTACACTTTTATCTGCTTTTATCTACAAGTAGTAACCCATCTCCGTTTATCTAGAATTACCTAAATATCACCGATTTATTTACGCTTTATCTGTCCACACTTTATCTACACTTAATGGCCCCATCCCCACTTTATCGATAACCAGTTATATGGCCCCTCAATTTCACTAATCTAGAATTACCTTTATCTCCTACATTTATCTGTATTTTATCAACCAGAATTATTCTGAAGTAATATCGACGTTTTTTATATTTGTCTGGAATTTATCGAGTCCAGAACGTGAAAACGACCCAGACTATTTATCTATCCACATTAACATCAATTACAATAAATAGATCCACTTTCACTTTATCTTTGATTACCTTCCTATTATTGATTCATCTGCGTTTTATCTAATCACATAAGCTTTACTTGCACTTAATGACCCTTCAATTTATCTAGAATTAGCTACAATTTTCGATGTATCTACACTTTCTGAACAGATGTAAGATTGATCTAATCAACATATCGTCGCTTTATCAACACCACTTTACTGTTTATATTATATCCTTGTGCTCAACTAGCCCCACTTTATCTCTATTTTATCTTTATGTTATCTCCTTACCTACATTTTATCAAAACACTGTCATTTTATCTATAATTAATATGATATGACGAATTTCATTTTGTAAATATCTGATTTACTTTTGTATTTGATGAAATCCTCTTCACGTGGTTCAATTGAACAATAAAATAGCGACTTTGAGTGACATCATAGTATTGATTTTCACGTTGGTCATCGACTCTATTTTAAAAAATCATGTACAATTAGTGATGAAACCATACATTATGGAATACAGTTCCGGAACAATTTTTTTTAACTCAGTGCGATATAAATATTCCTGTACTATTATTCTACATTTACGCTTCATTTTGTCAATTCCTCAGAAGACAATTCCTCAGAAGACAATTCCTCAGAAATCAATTTCTCAGAAGTCAATTCCTCAGAAGTCAATTTCTCAGAAGTCAATTTCGGAGATGACGTACACATTAGATAACATGTCCTTAAATTGGTTGTAAACAGTTATAGACAATGACCTGGTTCTAATGGCTATCTTGTGATAGGACAAGAAGTACTGATGACCTTTTCAGATCGTCTGATAAGGCTGAGAGAAAGTCTCCAAACATTAGTTCCTATACTCGGACGACAAAATGTACCTCAAAGAACTCCTCCTTGTAGCAGTCATCTGTATTGGTAAGATACACGTCAAGTATATAGCTGTTGTAGATATAAGTTTTTTTTTTATTATTTCCGGGAAATCTTTGTGATATTGCTCAATGAATACGACGTATACTTTGTAAGGTACAATGTATAAAAGTATTACAGAGCTATTGATTATAGAGGGAAACTTACTATATAAAACACACCCCTTGTGTCGCCGTTATCAGTTACTGTTACGTGCTACCCGACACAGTTCGGGTCCGCCCAATTCTTTACCGGGCGGTGCCAGGATATAATTAATTTAATTTTGTAAAAATCTGCATAGTTGACCAAATATCACTGACTTTTCTGAGGCTAATGAATTACTCTCTGAAGTTTCGTCGGTCCCTTTACTAAATATAGAATACACCAAAAGCCCTCCTCACCACTAAACTTTGTCACATGCAATCACGAAAATGATTTCACCAGAAACCTGATAAAAAATTTAAGATTTACGATACTTGATGATCTAGACCTGACTTCTGGTTGCCCGAACGCCTAGAAATATTGACGTGATCCTAGGATTTCGAGTTAACGGGATTCTGTTTGGTTAATGGTACACGATGATCTAGACCTAACCTTTGGTTACTCGAACACCTAGAACTATTGACGTGATCATAGGAGTTCGAGTTAACGGGATTTTAGTGTATTTGGTTTACGATACATGATGATCTAGACCAAACCATATCGAATCAAATAAAATTAAAATCTCTTTATTTGTGGTCAGTGTAATATATAATAGGTGGATGAAGTATCTATTCTAGTCCGGAACTGATATCCTTTGTGATTGAGGGATCTGATACCGATACTCAGGTAGTCTAGGTGTATAAATACACATGATTCTGTTCTACAGGTGTGTCCTCTGTGATTTAGGGATGTGATACAGATACTCGGGTAGTTCCTGTGTATAAATACACGTGATTCTGTTATACAGGTGTGTCCTCTGTAGTTGGTGAATGTGATATCGGCTGGGCGGAGTTTAAGGAAGACTGTCTATGGTTCAGTTCATCAACAGCCACCTGGGGTAATGCAGAGGTAAGTCACATCGACGAGAAAACAGAAAAAAAACCTTGAGATAAATGCTGTATATTTTTTCTTTATAACTTTATATCAGGCTATAAAATAATTTTGTGTTTTTGTATTCTTTTACAACGCGTGACTTGAATTATGATGAGTAGGAATCGCCTGGACTGGAATATGGTGCCAAAGTGAAAAAAAAATCCAACCGCTATGATTATCAACACTTAAACATACAGTGAGTTATTTACTAACATATATATGTTATATATACATTTCAGGCCAAATGTCGCACCATGGGAGCCTACCTAGCGACGGACGATAACGAAGACAAGCACGATTTTCTCACCACCATTCTCAACGTTCTCCGAGGTATGTATTGTCTCGTCACCAATTGGTCTATTCCTAACACGTGACACCTTTAATGTTACGCGTATTCACCTTTACAAAATGTTTCTAAATGAAGAAAAGGTTAATTAAATCTTCAGGTATATCCATGTTGAATCGTAGAATTTTCATTGTTTGACTAGATTGGAAAGCATCAGTTTGGTTCATTGGAGGAACTGACTACACTTTTGAGGGTCAGTACAGATGGCTAGAGACCGGTATGCACGTGGGGCCTTTCACGAGATGGGCCCCTGGTCAGCCAAACGGCACAATGGGAGAGAACTGTATTGGATTGAGGTGGGACGGGAATGTTCTGCTTTGGACGGATGAACCTTGTCAAACCCCTCATGTACCCCACGGTCAACATCACAGCCACGCTCCTCCTCTTGGAAACTACCACTACATCTGTGAGAAACAGTAAGCTGTCCCTGCAATCTGACTATAACTCATATTAACTCCATATTTAATTTTTCACGTGCATCAGTTTAAATATAGTAACATAATTTACAATTGATTGACTTGTACGACAACACGTGACTCTATAACTTCGGGACTGATATACTCTTTCGACAAAAACATATACAATCAGTCCTGTTAGAAACAATATGGAAGAAAAATAACGATTCATTCTGCTATCTTTTCTAACTGGAGGGATTATGTCACGATACTGTAATACTGTTCTTGTTATTTTCAGTAATAACGTGACAGCACCTGCAGTCATAGGCTAATCTGATCAGATTACAACAAGGACATGTACTAACGGATGTAAATATGTCTATGTCAGCTTAGACTCTTGTATAACGTTGAAACATTAAAATGAAATAGAGGCTAATTTGTGTAACTAGGTTATGTGTCATTAGATATGAATCATCAGTTCACTGGCGAGGTTTTACGGGAACTCAACATTTCAGATATTACATCATTTTAATTCGTGCATTTTGTGGTCGGTTTCTAGCATTTATCTAGTAAGGATATATATATCGCCCCGGTCATCCTGAGGCGGGGTATCCTGGTAGTAGCTAGTGACAACCTCTCTAAACAACATACGGGAGGACCGTATAAAGTATACAGGGTAAAGAGCCCTGCCGACCAAGAACACAACCATCACAACACTGGTAGGTCAATTTCTCTGCTTCCTGAGAACACAAACTACCATGGGCAATCTTCTTGTCTTATCCACAAGGTGTCACACATGGAACCTTCCATTTTTCCATAAAATGATCAAGGCGTGCAGAGTATCGAGGTTGAACATCCCCGAAGAAATCATGGCAGATTCGTGTTGGCCTCACAAACGACCTACATGATGTAATATAACGAAACAGATAAAGCCTTGCCTGCCTTTGTCCATAAATGATAACACTAAGATAGAACAGATAATACCTTGGCATAGTTATTCCTCAGCAATTTCAACATTAAAAAAAATTCAAATATAGAACGTGCAATGCATAAGGATGTACACTATGACCTGTGGTAAAACATCATTGGGAGAATGGAGGTTTTACATCCATACTTTGAGCCACTATAACAGTGGAGTGTTAATGAACAGGACAACCCTTTATCCCGATCACTTAAAGCAAGTGAGCATAAATCGGTGCTGAGACGTGGAAACAATGGTCTTAACTTTCTACGCTTTACGTCAAAGTCGATAGAGATGTCCGTGGACCATGATTCACGGATATAAGAAAAAAGCAGTAATCTTAGGTATTTCAATATTTTTCTTAAGTTCACTAAATTCACGTTTAATTCAGTTGAATTTTGTTTGCAGTTGTAGAATATTAAACATGGATATAGGTTTAAATAAAAACAATGAATCGATTCTTACTAAAAATGACATCATCATTTCACTGTTGGCGAATTTGTGGCAATAAGTACGTTCTTTAATACGTGTACACATAAACAGTGACCAGGCATGTAGAAACAATATAGAAACACAATAGATAACTAAATCAGAACCGCACAAAGATGATAAATTCTAGTGTAAATAGATTCGCTAATAAATAAGCTATATGCTAAGTCCATGTATTGGTTGCTGAATTTGTTAGCCCTAGGAATGTCTTTCTCCGCGTTACTAGATATACACTGCATTTAGTACCATGAAATATTCATTACATATACATTTTAATGCTTAGACACAAACTTTCCCAATGTCTCCCCAATCTTGGACCCCTCAGTCCGCCGTGTTAACGACTGACGTAATGGGATTAACGTACAACTCTGTGTTTGTACCTATGGGATGAAAACTTCCGGTTTAAACTTCTGATGAGAGAAACTGACAATATCAAATATAAATGACAGCATGTAAATTATATATATGTATAAGAAAGACTACAAAAAGGAACAAAAATATCTTTTTTTACGTCAATGATATACATGTTCATATTCGTCACAAAAATTGCACCCACAACAAAATTTGTATCAAATATTTGTTTTGGAAAACATTATTTAGTTTTAGGAAATTCTTTCTATGAAGAGAATGCAACCAAAGTTTTGTATACCCTTTATACCCTGTCCGCGGTCTTTAATTACCGATCTGGTTTAAGGGAGACAACTCCATTTTAATTTCGGCTTTAGTGCAATAGTTAAGACATCGATAGATACAAATATAAAATAACCAAGTAACGTTTCTATGTTGATCAATAAGCACATTTGTAATACATAGTCTCTCACATACCAGGTATTTTGGCCTGACAGTCCATGATGATTTTATGTCCTCTCACCACGCTATAAACAAACGACTGTGTTACACAATGCTATTTAAAGATATCTGGTAATTCCAGCGATCGCTTTTACACCTGTAATCAAGCTCTTGTTTCGATCCGACTCAGATGAGGAACTCGTTTAATTTCAATGTACAGGTAAGGCTAATGGTATTTATGTACATAACAAGACCATAGCAAAACAGAAAAAAACACTACTAAATCACATATATAATTATTTCGGTCTTATGTATATTAGTGTGTATGTTGGTCACGTTGTATCATGTTCACAAGTTTCGTTACCAGACAGGCAGAATCATAATCAGACAGCAAGGTAATCAAGAGGAGGTAATGTAGGTCTAAAATTTAACAGTTTACATGTAAACATCAAATATAGTTATTGATTTTCACAGATTCAAGGTGGATCTTCAGCAGAGCGTGACGTAGAAACTATCGTTTGTATATAAACACTACAACAGTCGATATGATATATGGTGGATCTTCAGCAGAGCGTGACGTAGAAACTATCGTTTGTATATAAACACCACAACAGTCGATATGATATATGGTGGATCTTCAGCAGAGCGTGACGTAGAAACTATCGTTTGTATATAAACACCACAACAGTCGATATGATATATGGTGGATCTTCAGAAACAGAGCGTGACGTAGAAACTATCGTTTGTATATAAACACCACAACAGTCGATATGATATATGGTGGATCTTCAGCAGAGCGTGACGTAGAAACTATCGTTTGTATATAAACACCACAACAGTCGATATGATATATGGTGGATCTTCAGCAGAGCGTGACGTAGAAACTATCGTTTGTATATAAACACCACAACAGTCGATATGATATATTGTGGATCTTCAGCAGAGCGTGACGTAGAAACTATCGTTTGTATATAAACACCACAACAGTCGATATGAGCGTGACGTAGAAACTATCGTTTGTATATAAACACCACAACAGTCGATATGATATATGGTGGATCTTCAGCAGAGCGTGACGTAGAAACTATCGTTTGTATATAAACACCACAACAGTCGATATGATATGGTGTATCTTCATCAGAGCGTGACGTAGAAACTATCGTTTGTATATAAACACCACAACAGTCGATATGATATATGGTGGATCTTCAGCAGAGCGTGACGTAGAAACTATCGTTTGTATATAAACACCACAACAGTCGATATGATATATGGTGGATCTTCAGCAGAGCGTGACGTAGAAACTATCGTTTGTATATAAACACCACAACAGTCGATATGATATATGGTGGATCTTCAGCAGAGCGTGACGTAGAAACTATCGTTTGTATATAAACACCACAACAGTCGATATGATATATGGTGTATCTTCAGCAGAGCGTGACGAATAAACTATCGTTTGTATATAAACACCACAACAGCAGATAGAGCGTGACGTAGAAACTATCGTTTGTATATAAACACTACAACAGTCGATATGATATATGGTGGATCTTCAGCAGAGCGTGACGTAGAAACTATCGTTTGTATATAAACACTACAACAGTCGATATGATATATGGTGGATCTTCAGCAGAGCGTGACGTAGAAACTATCGTTTGTATATAAACACTACAACAGTCAGCAGAGCGTGACACTATCGTTTGTATATAAACACTACAACAGCGTGACGTAGAAACTATCGTTTGTATATAAACACTACAACAGTCGATATGATAGTCTTATATTTAGTTAGTTTTATAGCATATAACATATTGTTGTACAACATTATAAAGTTAACCGTGCCAATAACAGAGTTCCAATTATAAACGGTGATCTAACAATGACAGAGTCATTAGGTCTTTTCATAAGTTTACATATAGACTCCGTACAACGTCTACTCGCTTGGTTTGCCAACTACAACAGTACATATATGAACAGGCAAGCACGTGTGCAATAACTGACTAATAAGACCCGTATGTACTTCACTAGGAACAAGTTTATCTTGTCCAATTTACTTTTCTCAGTCATTTTTACAGTTTGAGGCCAAACTAACTACTTAGTACTGTGACTCCACCAGCAGGTAAACAAAATCTGGATTTAAACTTCAGATAAAGAAAACAAAGGACGGGCGATAAGGAACGATATACAACCCTAAAAGAGTATGACCAGATTTTCAGCCAAGGTAATCACTGTCAATTTATGTAATGTCGCGTTCTTAAATAAGAACCGAGTTAGAAATAACGAAACAAGAGGCATACTGACATCATATCGCACAAGGAAAGCGCCTACATAACTCCCCTATAGTCTTCATCACATGTAAACAACGTAGGTTGGAGAATCAGACTTGTTACGTTCTGAAAATGGAACCTTTAAAAATGCAATAAGGAATTAATCACACTCAGTATACAGCTTGGTAGAAAGTTGTCCCTGTTAGCCTTTTGCTAGCGAATCACTGGTGTACGCAGCTGCGTTCCCGATTCAGTTGGATATATAAATGGTTAAACTATGTCTAAAACTGGAATTAAAGGATAAAACAAGGCCATGCTTGGTGAGCTCTTCGGTAGATCCATCATAATTATCCTGTAGTCACTTATCTATTTATCATTTCGGAGTAACAGATAATATTAGTAATATTTAATTACTTGACAATATTGTCTATCAAAGGTTTACATGTTTCTCAAATTCTTAATTGTTATAACTTGTTATTCCACATAACACATTTATAAACACCATGTCACTTTTTTATATTCATCATTAAGTATGATCCTTCTGTTCAGACAACCACACGTGTCGGTTTTACAACAGTGAGTATGTACAACCATTAAGTATGATCCTTCTGTTCAGACAACCATACGTGTTGGTTTAATTACCGTGAATATGTATGATCGTTTAATTCACCTTTAGGTATGATCCTTCTGTTCGGACAACCATACGTGTCGGTTTTATAACAGTATGTATGATCGTTTAATTCACCATTACGTATGATCCTTCTGTTCAGACAACCATACGTGTCGGTATTATAACAGTATGTATGATCGTTTAATTCACCATTACGTATGATCCTTCTGTTTAGACAACCACACGTGTCGGTATTATAACAGTATGTATGATCGTTGAATTCATCATTACGTATGATCCTTCTGTTCAGACAACCATACGTGTTGGTTTTATAACCGTGAGTATGTATGATCGTTTAATTCACCATTACGTATGATCCTTTTGTTCAGACAACCATACGTGTCGGTTTTATAACTGTGAGTATGTATGATCGTTTAATTCACCATTACGTATGATCCTTCTGTTCAGACAACCATACGTGTTGGTTTTATAACCGTGAGTATGTATGATCGTTTAATTCACCATTACGTATGATCCTTCTGTTCGGACAACCATACGTGTCGGTTTTATAACTGTGAGTATGTATGATCGTTTAATTCACCTTTAGGTATGATCCTTCTGTTCAGACAACCATACGTGTTGGTTTTATAACCGTGAGTATGTATGATCGTTTAATTCACCATTACGTATGATCCTTCTGTTCAGACAACCATACGTGTCGGTTTTATAACCGTGAGTATTTATGATCGTTTAATTCACCATTACGTATGATCCTTCTGTTCGTTATATTCAACGCCACGTATGATCTTTTTGTTTCAGACAACCATGCGTGTCGGTTTTTTGATATTTCTGCCGGTTTTGGTAAGCACTACCTTCGTAGGTTTGGAGACTGACATCGACTACTACCAGGTCCTCCATGTTAAACGTTCAGTCAAACTGTCCACGATCAGGAGGGCATACCGGAAATTGGCTTTGAGGCTGCATCCCGATACCAGTGGGGTAATAAAAATGACATGATCACTAATTCTCTTTAATAGATATACTTATACGAATAAGGCCAAAACACCTATATGATAGTACATAAAGCTACATCTAAGCTTTATTGTATACAGGAACCAGTGGGATAATTACAACTTTCTAGGTTGATTTTTCTCATTAGCCACCAATGATTTACAATTAAGGATCTTAGCATAAATTAACAGTCCTATGAGGAGGTTGCATAGTGCAGTTTAATTCAAAATTTGGTTTATCTCTATCTTACATGGTGTTTACATGTCACAGTTGATTCGATACTCTAAGGCCCGTTCCCATTGTCACGTTTTTCTGACAAGCTTTCAACACTATTTGTTTACTTTGTTTTCATTACAGAACATGACATAACTTAGCTGGATTGACAAAGCGTTAAAAGGCGGATTTTATCGATGAAGTAGAGAACGCTTATCTTTCCGGAACACTTGATCCTGTTTTCTTCCTTTTGTTTTTAATTTACCATATTATCTTTCAGTTTGTGTTTGACCTGTTAACATGTCGGTACATTCGTTGTTGCTCTTGTTCTAAAGAGACATGCCATACTCCCACCATTCAATAAGAAAATTGATTTTTGAAAGATATTTTAGGGCCTTTATGTCAGCACAGTATAGAATGCTTTCAATAACATCAGTTTTTGTTTAATTCTTATCAGTCAAAATGGATTGGTTACAATAAAAAACTTTGCTGTTAAAACGTCTTATACACTCAATATTGAAATGAAAATCAAAATTGTAGATTTTGTATTTTGTGCTAAATGCTAACCAGTGTGAAGAAGGTGGTGAAAAGATGCCAAAAATTGATAAATTGGCCAAAATAACATAATTTCATTACTGGTCAGATAGTTTTTAAAATAACAAATTGTTTCCTTTCAGCAACCTTAAAATAACTTGACAACAGCAATTACAACCGAAAGGGAACCATAATCTACACAACCAATAATTGACTCTACAGAACCCTGGTTTGGGGAATTGTTCAATGCAATTTCCCCCGATACATATTTTGCCATCTTTCATGGATTTGAGATTGTATTGAGAACTGGTTGGCCTCTCGGTTGTATATAGCTTTGTATTGACGAAGAAAATTGAATAACTAAAAATCTGTGTTTTCAGTGCGATACAACTAAACAGTTCCAGATCCTTGGGGAGGCAAAACATATTTTAACTAGCGAAATGGATAGAAATCTCTACAACATGCTTCATCCAAAGGCAGGTTTCTGGACAGAACCGTATGATTGGGGCATGGATGATTGTGAAAGGAAGAATATGTCAATCACACAGAAATATCATTTGAAGACAAAACAGTGGTTAAAAGTATTACAGAAGTGGGTGACAAATTTCTTGTGGATGCAGATCCCATCTTTGAGGTCATACATAGATCTGTATTACAACATTTTAACAGACTACGTCGTTATTGGTGTATTGTTGGTTTCTTCGGCAACGCTTTGGAGCAGGTAATAGTCACTGTCTGAAATATGATAAAAATGACGGTTAAAACAAAGCCGACAAAATAAATTCTTTATTTATCAAGATAACCAGGAATATAAATTTGCAACGGTTTCAATTCATCTTTATGATATTCCAGGAAAGAAATCTAACCTGAAGGTTAACCATGAAACTTAATGTCGTAATATGTAAATTAATATTTCATGAATAACTATCCAATATCCCATTTTAACTACAGACTATGCCTAAGACAAGTTGATTTTGTCCACTTCTTCCCTTCCTCCCAGCTAACCACGATTTTCTCTAGTTCTTCCCTTCCTCCCAGCTAACCACGATGATTTTCTCCAGTTCTTTCCTTCCTCCCAGCTAACCACGATTATTTTCTCCAGTTCTCTGTTCCTCCCAGCCAATCACGATGACTTTCTCCAGTTCTTACCGACCTCTCAGCCATCCAAGATGATTTTCTCCAGTTCTTTCCTTCCTCCCAGCTAACCACGATGATTTTCTCCAGTTCTCAATTCCTCCCAGCTAATCTCGATGACTTTCTTCAGTTCTCCCTTCCTCCCAGCTAACCACGATGACTTTCTCCAGTTCTCCCTTCCTCCCAGCTAATCACGATGACTTTCTCCAGTTCTTACCTACCTCTCAGCCAACCACGATGATTTTCTCCAGTTCTTTCCTTCCTCCTAGCTAACCACGATGGTTTTCTCCATTACTTTCCTTCCTCCCAGCTAACCACGATGGTTTTCTCCATTACTTTCCTTCCTCCCAGCTAACCACGATGATTTTCTCCAGTTCTCCCGTTCTCCCAGCTATCCATGATGACTTTCTCCAGTTCTTTCCTTCCTTCCAGCTAACCACGATGATTTTCTCCAGTTCCAGTTACTCAACCTCTTCCATCCGGCTGACAACCACAATGTTTTTTTTCGCAACTACTCCGTTCCGCCAACAACCTGACTTTTTGCTTAAGTGATTTTCTCTCCAAGTCACCTATGATCCTTTTCTGTAGCTATTCCGCTTATCCCATCTTTATGCCGATTTTCTCTAGCTATTCCACGACTTCTCCCTCTCATCTTCAATTTGCACTAACGGTCATGCTATATATCGGCGCTTTCTTTTGCGCAAATCTTTAGTCTGTCCTGTTCGATATTTCGATTCGTGCAAAAGGAATGCTATACTTAATTGGAAAGTGGAAGCTTAGTTCTTGTTGTTACCTCACGTATATATTTCAGGGATCTCGTCGGTCAGTACATATCAGCTATCAGCTCGATCTTCTACGGCCTTCACCTTCTCACAATTGCCTACTCGAGTAGACATCTATTTATGACGGTAAGGAATGGTACTGATAAGATATTGAGTTAAGTTCCACCTTACATCATGTATACTTTACGTAGACAAAGAAACAGTATTGTTAAATTATTCAATTCAGAAAATATTCTGTGATAATGAATAATGCTACCTGGAATGAAAATATTGTATACTACACCTGTATAAATTTCAAAAATGAAAACTGGCTCTTCTTAAGTGTAAAATGGATAGAGTGTATATTTTGTGGGAGCATCACACTGTTTATATCCTAAGTTAGAAAAACACTTTCCAAATTTTAATTTTATATTCATGCTGTCATATGTAATCAATTTTCCATATGTTTTGCAGGAAATCGTGAAAAATCTACTGGTCCACTTAATGAAAGGGCCTTCACTGAAGTCAACACTTTCAGAGAACAACTTCATACTAAATTGTTATATATACATGATGCTGTCCACAGCTGTTGTTGCGCTGTTATTTTATAAATACCATACCTTTTACGTTACTAGGGTTAGAGACAGTGTGTGGACTGTAGTCACAGTAGTTGGGTGTGTATGTGTCCTCGTTAGTCTCAATACAGAGATACAACTAGATTTAAACACATCATCAACAGATGTTTCAGTTTTTTCTTTGGTAGTTTGTGGACTTGTACTTTATATTTTACGTAGCTGACAAACTAGTGCCAGCACCACAGAAGCAACACATGATACTGAATCAAAAAGATATATTTTACCAACATAAAACCATTTAAACCATTATATTTTTTATGACGAATTTGTGAGCAACATATGTGTATTAGAAGTAGTTCTTAGTATGATGTGACTAGTGTTAATGTATAGCTGCTTGTGTTCGCAGGATAAAATGTTTACGGATGTCGTTTAAAAGGAGAGAAAAAGATTTTAATGAAAAACATTTTGTCGATCTTGATATGGAAAAGACATCAAGAAAATACTAACATGGCAACATAATCACAATTCAAACTCGAAACTCCGTAAAACTATGGCAAAATATGAACAAAAGAAAGATTGCCACGGAGATTCTTGAAAAAGCGCAATGATAATAAGGCCAGGTATCCCGGAGGAGTAAGCGTCTTCTGCTTCATCGACGATATCCGACATCTAAACCTTGAAAGGGTATCTAATTTTCGTGAATATTGCTCCCGGTGTCAGGTTTCAAATACTTAATTGCTTATTTATCTGTTTGTGTATATATTGGTTACTATTGCTTCCACCGATGTAATGGAATATAACCCCATCATCGTTATTTGTTTATGCTGAAGCTGCTTTTAGTCAAGATTGAATCTGAATAAAACGAATTTCAAATTTCATTATTTTTATTGTTTCATTACTAATAGCTTTCAATGTTAGAAACTACAAACAATGTTTTATCTTTAAAGCACCTCATCGGCAAGTTGGACTATTCCAAAAAATATACCTCGCAGAAAGTATCACTCATACAAAAAATACTTATATATTTGTAAAAATCGATATATAGAATATCTCGTCATGTCTATCTTATAATTTGGATGCAGTTGTATCGAGGTCATGATTAAGATGTCATTTTTTTAAAATTAAAAATCATCTCCAATACATATTTCACTGTTAACACCACTTAATTTCTCCATTAGAAAAAATAAAATATCTTCTTTGATTTGCTAAATTTCAATAATGTATGTTCATAGCCAACTTATAGCATATATATATACTGATAACCTGTCAGAAAAGACAAATACAATTTAATTAACGGATGTGTCCATGGTGACATAAATTCGTTCAAAAGATTTTGTTTAAATGGTTGACAAGAATTTGACAAGGAATATCATGTACCATTTTTTATTCAGTAGTACCAGACAAATCTCGCTCTCTATTGGAAGATCACGTGGTGTCAATCTATCCTACCACAGGTCCACTGGTGTAATCCACATTCCTGTAACAGACAACAACAAGACTATGAAACAACACAGACAAATCCTTGTGTATACTTGTGTCAATGAGATATTACATTATTTTACAGAAATATTGATTTCCTCATTAAATGCTATTTTTTCGAATACAACTTGTTCAAAAACAGAATATCAGTTTTTGTCAATTAAATTGACTTATTTCTTATTTTTTTGCTATAATTTCGTTAAATCATATACATATATGTTTTTCATCAATGGAGAGTTTGAAAGTGATTAGTAACTTTATGACTGCGTTATTCACCCGATCGAGATGTATTCCCCTGGATACAAGGTATTCCTAATGCAATTATTGTGAGCAGTATTAGGATTATATCAACCAGATGACCTTCACCATTGCTATGGAAGAAGATAGAGACACTTACTTGGTCTCACATATATAGTTGTACATGCCCATGGGTGGGGGTCGAGTATGATGAACATGGGTGTGGTTCTTGGCCCGTTTTCCCCTCGTGGAACACTTTTCATCTTCCCAAAACAAATCACGCCCGATCCATTTCAGTGACAGGCAATTTTCGATGTTAGTCCCATTTGGTTGACCAGGTGCCCATTTCGTGAAGGGTCCGATAGGAGAACCCGTCTCTAACCACCTATAACTCCCCTCAAACGTGTAGTCAGTAGCTCCTATAAACCACTCTGTTATACCTCGTCCTGGGGGTAACATACAACATATATCACTTCCCTTAAACGTGTTAGTAGCTCCTATAAACCACTCTGTTATACCTCGTCCTGGAGTAACATACAACATATCTCACTTCCCTTAAACGTGTTAGTAGCTCCTATAAACTACTCTGTTATACCTCGTCCTGGGGGTAACATACAACATACAACATATATCACTTCCCTTAAACGTGTAGTCAGTAGCTCCTATAAACCACTCCGTTATACCTCGTCCTGGGGGTAACATACAACATCTATAACTACCCTCAGTATTTCACAGCACCAGTACTCAGATGTATACAACGGATGCATTAGTGTATTATAGTTATATAACAGCCTGACGGTCAAACCGTACAAAGACAAGACACTCCGTCTCTTAACGGTAGCGGTCAAGTGGTCAAGGTATACTTACTATTGGTTTAAACAATATTTTATTTTCAGATTTTCATTTACAACATACACATACACAAATTACAAAATTGAAAATAGATCTGGCAACAAGATTATAAATCTTATATTAAGCCATCTCTATATACTAACTATTGACACAAGGATACGACTGCACGATGATGTATACAATACTGATAATAGGAATTGTGTATTTTCCTTAAAATGTGAGGTCTTAAACGTTATTTATAGATTTAGAATTCGACGTGTGCCAAACAGCCCAATATATTTACATTGAATAAATCATTTAGCATAAATGTAGACTGTCAATTTAAAGACAACAAATGTATATGAAGGTTTTGTAACCTCTGAACACTAAAAACATATCAACATAATCATAATCCATGGTCAAATTCAAGAAAACTAGGGCAAATTATGATAAAACATATGTTTACACAGTGACTCCCGAAAACATAAATGAAGATCACGTATCGTCTGCTTCATCTATAACACCCGTGGAGTTAAATTAAGGTCAATTCAAGTAAGTAATGTCATATTTTCAAATGAGAACAAGGTATACAACAACCGAACCACTAGACAGTCTACTTGTACGAGCGTCCATTACATCCAGTGTCATTTCGAACCCTGAGATCATTATGGTGATAGTTTCCTAAAAGACCATTGAATAACAAGCTACGACTTGCACACACGAGAATCACTGACTACGTCAATGTCTTACCACCTCTTAACACGTTGAGAATCATTGCCAGGAAGTTGTGTTTGTCCTCGCTGTCGTCAGTAAGGAGCCAGCTGGCTTTAGATCTACAGTCGTCCTGGATTTGTAACAAAAAAGTTATTGGTACAACTAGAGACTACACACTTCAAACATCAAATGTATGTTTTTCTACACCGTAAGCAATCAGGAAGCGTTGTAGTTTTAATATATATTTCTTACAACCTAAATTCGTATTAATATTCACGTAAATATCGATTATTTGATAGACTCGTTTCTTGATTTAGATAAGCTATACAGGTGAAGATGATTAATTGTGAATGACAGATATATTAACGATGATTATTTATTGACCACTTTTATCCTACCACTTACATAACTATTGACTATCAATAGAACATGAAAACACTATATACGGATCTTAAACGGGTTTTTAATTTCAAATGGGGTTTTTCTAAACAAGTCTTCAATTTTATTTTAAAACAATTTTCAACATTAATTCTCTGATTTAAAGTCAGGTTTAGCTTTCGTTGTTGTCCCTTGTGTATGGACATATTACGTTAAATTTATCATGAAGGACTCAGACACGTTATCGCGCTCTTATGTTAAAAAAAGACAGAACCGGGTCAAATGCTGTTTCCTTAACTTCAAATACATCACCTACCTCTGCATCTTGCCAAGATTTTTTTCCTGGACTAAACCAAACACAATCTTCTTTATACTCTGTCCAACCTAAATTACAGGTCGTCAAAACCAGTGGCAATCCTGTAACACGTTATAAACGTTATGAACGCCAGTGGTAATTCTGTAACACGTAATAAGCAATGAACACCAGTGGTAATTATGAAATACGTAATAAGCAAAGAACACCAGTGGTAATTATGAAATGCGTAATAAGCAATGAACGCCATTGGTAATTATGAAATGCGTAATAAGCAATGAACGCCATTGGTAATTATGTAATGCGTAATAAGCAATGAACGCCAGTGGTAATTATGTAATGCGTAATAAGCAATGAACGCCAGTGGTAATTATGAAATGCGTAATAACCAATGAACACCAGTGGTAATTATGAAATGCGTAATAAGCAATGAACACCAGTGGTAATTATGTAATGCGTAATAAGCAACGAACACCAGTGGTAATTATGTATTACGTTATAAGCTACCCAACTTATGACTTATTAAGTATAACATAGTTACTGTAATATGTTAAAAGTTATCAACATCGATACAAACACGTTCCCTGTGAGAGTTACAACGTTTCTCATGTCCGTATTATATACATTTTATAAATGTGTTATGATATAATGTTATATTCAGGTAATTATATCAATGAAGTATGTTAAGTGACAGCGCCGTCTCACCCACACATAAGAACAATCCTATTCGTAGATCCATGATCCCTACCATTACAAGACTTTGGTAGAATGGTAGATAACGAAGGTCTTGGTGATGGCGATAAGATCTGACCCCGCATTTCGACCGGTTTTACAGGTAATTATTTAGGACAAATGTTTCACAACGCTTTATTGACATTCAGATATCAGGCATTTATGTAAAGTTGGAAACTGTAAGATATATACATATATATAAACTTTATTTAACTCTGACGGAGGAGATATTCTATTTATAGGATGGGTCCATAAAACGATTTTTCAAAAAATAAATGAATGATTCTTGATAAATGAGGTCATAAGAATACCAGTTTATACTGTGGTTTGTTAATTAATGATAGAAAACTCTGACAGTAGTGCATTATTGCTGGAACAAACGAGGATACCGATAAATATGATAATACAGATTCAATAGATTAACATATGTGTTAGGTTATACTTACATTAAAGGCATTAGGTGTGAAGGCGATGCAGTAGGTTGCTTCTGAGAAACATTCACTATATTTCAAAACACGTTTAAAACAATATTTACTTTTAGCGATGTTTTAATGCTTCGGTTTAAATGATAAGTTAATTGGCTATATCCGTTAATTATACACACAAGAACTTGAAATTAAATATAAAAATTGTTTCTCAAATCAATCGTAACTTCCAACGCAACCAACAAGGAGTTTAATTTATTTTTCGTAAATCTCCTTTATCTATTTAGTGACCAGTAAAATTTCACTCCCTATGTTGTTTACTTGTGGCAGTGGGCAGTACATCATTAACACAATTTTTTTATTATTTGAGAACGCAAATTTTCTTTGATTGACCTGGGTCTACATGGAGGGTGGCGTCCATAAAGCAGAAGACGTGTATACCCTCCCAAGTCACGTGGTCTAATTCTCTCCATTTTCTCTAAGATTTTCGTGTTAATCTTTCCTTTGATTGATTAAAAGTTTGAATTACGATTTCTTTACATTTTTGTCCTGTGTTAGTAATAATAAAAGATATTAAACACCTGGCATCATTTTTAGTTGGTCTGATGTATTATTTGATTTACCGATATTAAGAACAATTTTACTGACTAGCGAAGTCCAATGTAAACAAATGGGTATTACAGAGATAAATTATTCACGCTTACTAGTATGATAAGGAGACTTGCATAAGACAATATGAACAAGTAGGTCACCCACGTCCGTCTGAACTCTCTCGTATAACCATGTTGATATTTGTCCTGTTCTATATCTGAACATGGAAACTGAATATACTGATTGCCTAAGTTGCCTCATTGACATCACTAACCAGTCTTAGACAGCATAATCTTCGAGACAAAGAAATCAGATGTAGATATCACTATCATGGCTTAAACTTCGAGACAAAGAAATCAGATGTAGATATCACTATCATGGCTTAAACTTCGAAACAAAGAAATCAGATGTAGATATCACTATCATGACTTGAACTTCGAGACAAAGAAATCTTTGATGTAGATATCACTGTCATGGTTTATACTTCGAAACAAAGAAATCAGATGTAGATATCAATATCATGGCTTAAACTTCGAAACAAAGAAATCTGATGTAGAAATCATTATCGTGGCTTAAACTTTGATACAAAGAAATCAGATGTAGATATCACTGTCATGGTTTATACTTCGAAACAAAGAAATCAGATGTAGATATCACTATCATGACTTGAACTTCGAGACAAAGAAATCTTTGATGTAGATATCACTGTCATGGCTTGAACTTCGAGACAAAGAAATCTGATGTAGATATCACTATCATGGTTTATACTTCGAAACAAAGAAATCAGATGTAGATATCACTATCATGGCTTAAACTTCGAGACAAAGAAATCTGATGTAGATATCACTGTCATGGCTTAAACTTCGAGACAAAGAAATCTTTGATGTAGATATCACTGTCATGACTTGAACTTCGAGACAAAGAAATCTGATGTAGATATCACTATCATGGTTTATACTTCGAAACAAAGAAATCTGATGTAGAAATCATTATCGTGGCTTAAACTTTGATACAAAGAAATCAGATGTAGATATCACTATCATGGCTTAAACTTCGAGACATTGAAATCAGATGTAGATATCACTAGCATGGCTTAAACTTCGAGACAAAGAAATCAGATGTAGATATCACTGTCATGGCTTAAAGTTCGATACATTCTCATAGTTCTCTGTATTATAATTCTCATTTCAGTTCATATTTATAAAATGGGAAGGTAAATAAACGATATTTCACTTTATTTCTAACCAGAATTAAGGATAAAACTGCGATAACGAAATCATCACGTACTGAACTCATTTGGTGTTTTGGACCTCGACTTGTTCTTTGAATTAATTTTTTTTTTAAATTTCGGCAGCCCGTTTTTCAGGTAGTGTGAATTTTGATATGAATATATAAAACTTTCGAAGGTAATTCCAATATTGCATTCCGTCAGGTTCGAAAACAAACTTTCTATCTGTTGCATAGGACTTTGATCATCAAACCTCGCGTTTGATATTGAAGTAACCCTCTATTTAGATAGTATCGAATGCTCTTAACATAACAACTAAATATGAGGATTACAAAAATTTGCCACCATTGGTATTTTCTTGGAGTCATCCGAAAATGAGCAATGGTTCCCTATCTCTCTCGCTGTTTTCATTAACACAAAACATCTCTTGTTGGCTTGAATCAATGTTTGTTTAGGATACAAAAATATCGAGAGCAGTATCTTAATCAGTTTCTACAGCTGTGACAAAGGACTTTTGAATCAAGACATTTCAAACATTTCAACAGATTGGAAAAAGTATTAGAAAAAATTATACCAGGTGTACCACAAGGGTAAGTGTTTTCTGCATTGATGATGTCCAACATGTAAACCTGTAAAGTACATCCACTGCTTATCGCATAAGGAAAAAATTATCATAATGACACACCATAAACACTGTAATCCATACCAAGACAGAGGTAAATATACTAACACTTATATAGATAAACAATAATAAGTTTATTGAGTATGAATGTGATATATATATTTACAATTGCGCTGCAATGTTACGTAGTATTGCTTTGTATAAGTACTCCTGTGTGTCAATATGACATGACATGATTCAGAATCTGCATAATATTTGTGCAGTTTCATCTCATCGCTTTTACAATTTTTAGAGACGAGTAGACATTTAAAGTTTTCAATTACTGGCTAAATTTGTAAATTCTGACAGCACTATTTTGTTTCGAAAACAATGGAATGATACATAACCTTTTTCATTTTAGATTTGCCATAAAATTACTGACTGACTATGGTTCGTGTAGTCGGTACAGGATTGCAAATTATCATAATGTGTCGACATGCTTTATGTGATGTGTGTACAACACTGTATTGACTCCCAGGAACATCAATTGAAACAAATAGGTATGTAATGGTTAAATAACCAACATATGGAGAACTCGGTGGCACCATATACCGAAACTATAAGAGGGAACCGTGATGATTTTACGATATGTATTATCTATTTATAGATAGAAACATACCTACTTCCCGAACCATAATGGTTTTCTGATATGTATTGTCTATTTATATATAGAAACATACCTACTTCCCGAATCATAATGGTTTTCTGATATGTATTATCTATTTATAGATAGAAACATACCTACTTCCCGAACCATAATGGTTTTCCTTATATGGAATATCCATTTTTAGATAGAAACATACCTACCTTTTTATGCTGTCTTGTCATTAAAATGTCATGATTTCGAGATATACAGATTGGTAAAAAATGCAGGATTATCGCCATCATAGTCTCAGCTTAAAATGGTATGTGTTATTATGTGATCTACCAATGCTCTCCGTGTGAGTTACTTCTTTGTTTGTATTTTGCCTTTGTTTCGACGATTTTTAATTGGATCTAACACGTTGTGAAAACATCGGTATTTTCAAGTATTGATATATTCTAAAGGCAGACGGCCAATTAAAGTTTGTTATCTTTATTTCTTGAGAAGTACGGAATGAGCTTTCTCAAATTCTCAAACTGATCAACAATTTTATTGTTAGGGTCGCGTGGAGTGCCTTATCTTGTTCATTGGCCGTTGTGAAGCAGACCAGTTGACCGACAAGGAGTCCATACGACGGTGTACATAACTTTTCTCACTGTAAGTCAGTCAGCTGATAGATAGCCATGCATTCAACCCTGCTTTGCACCCTTGTCTTAGCTTTAGTAGGTAAGTAAATATGTTTTCATCAATATGTCATGCTACAAGAAACATTTACCATTAACATTCAAACGTATTATATTTCGCAAAACATGGCAAAATGTTTAGCCTTAAAGAAAGATATCGTTTGTAAGAAATGGTAAAAAGTCATTAAATGAGATAAAAATCTCGACATGAATTCTTGCTTGTCGTGGCAACATCTCAAGGATAAGTGATTAGCATCCCTACCTTATTTGGTAATATGATTTTATTGGTAGCTGTGGCCGTGGTCAGGGCTCGTAAATGCGAACCTGGATGGGCCGAGTTTAAGGAAGATTGCATCTATTTTGGTCATGACCGTACAACTTGGGATGATGCAGAAGTAAGTATTCTTTTTACAACAATGTTAATCAAAGGTCATTATATCTCATTGTGTCACCGGATTCCAAACTACCACGGAGAGATTCTGTTAAGGTTTTCACAACACAAAGGATTTACAGTGTTTTAGCAGCTTAATTAAAGTAAGGAATTTAGTCAAATATTGCTATTGTTTTCTTATGTACGAATTGAATGTTTGGTAGCACACCCTTTACTGACAGTGCTTATATGGAATAACTAAGGTTTACATGCTGCGTGTCGTTGACGCAGCAAAGGACGCTTACTCTTCCGGAACCCCATATCGTGTTCCCCCTTTGTAAGAAGTCTCCATATTAATCTTTCTTTTGTTCATATTTTGCCGTAATTATGTCAATTTTTAGTTTTATTATGATATTGTTGGCATGTTCGTTTTCTTTTCTTTCATTATCAAAAATAAATGGAAAATACATTTTTTTGGCATAATTTTGAAGAGAGGTCAATGTGTAGCATAGAAAGTTGTACATAACTTTTCAAATGTCTGCATTCATCTCCATTACTTTTTGGCAGCAAAATAAAAAAGAAAGTATTGTTCATGCCACATTCGGCTCCTCCATCCCCTACCCGTAACTGAGTAAGGTGTCCCGGCCTCCTCTCGTCGTATACGACAGGAACAATCTTGCTCTTACTTTAGATATTTTCAACCGAACGTATTCATCCAGTTGTATAATCCCTTTTGTGTTTGCTTATGAAACTTTTTCACACATACTTAGGGCTAGATTCTCACTTCGGACTGGGAATTCTACTTTAGTGGCAACCTGTCTACTCACGTGGGATCTCTCATAGTACCTTAGTATGATTCCTTCAATGGTGCTTAATAAAGGTTCAAATAACTTCTGTTGTATTTTTTTGTAAATTTTTGTCTGCATAATCACCGTCTTTTTCCTAACTTGACTTTACTTCCTTTTTCATCCTGTTATTAACAGGACATTTAATGTTTTAAGATTATAAAAGATCGATTCCTTAGTATACAAACAAGGAATAAAAAAGGTACCGAATCTTAATTCAAATTCATATTTAAGGAAAATTGAGCAAAAACTGAACAAAGACAAAATTACAAAAAGGTAAGCTTCTATTACTTTATTGACCAACCATGTAAATTTTGGTCAATCTCGGTAAGTTATGTTACGTTCCGAAATTAGGCAAATGTAAATAACAACGAAGCGACGCGCCAAAACTACTTATCGGAATCAAGCACATTACCTACTGAGATCAATATTATGACCAAAAAACATCCCCATATTCTTCATCAACCATCACTCGAAGCCCAGTGTTGTACGTTTATCTGTCTGTTGAATGTATGTTTTTATCGACTTGTTTGATGTTTTCAATCATGGATATTACAAAAATAAAAGTGTTCTGTTCAATTGTTTATTTTTTAAAATTTTGTCTCTAATTTATTTCTCATATGATATCATGTTTTTAGAGAAGATGCAGGGATAGGGGAGCATGGCTTCTCTCAGATGACAATGAAGAAAAGCACGACTTCCTATCGGACCTCTTGGAAGTTCTTTTCAGTAAGAATAATCAGAAATATAGTACACGTACACTCCTAACACATAATAATCAGTAATATAGTACACCCCTAACACAGAATAATCAGAAATATAGTACACGTACACTCCTAACACATAATAATCAGTAATATAGTACACCCCTAACACAGAATAATCAGTAATATAGTACACGTACACTCCTAACACAGAATAATCAGTTATATAGTACACTCCTAACACAGAATAATTAGTAATATAGTACACTCCTAACACAGAATAATCAGTGATATAGTACACGTACACTCCTAACACAGAATAATCAGTTATATAGTACCCGTACACTCCTAACACAGAATAATCAGTTATATAATACCCGTACACTCCTAACACAGAATAATCAGTTATATAGTACACTCCTAACACAGAATAATCAGTGATATAGTACACGTACACTCCTAACACAGAATAATCAGTGATACAGTACACGTACACTCCTAACACAGAATAATCAGTGATATAGTACACGCACACTCCTAACACAGAATAATCAGTTATATAGTACACTCCTAACACAGAATAATCAGTTATATAGTACACGTACACTCCTAACACAGAATAATCAGTGATATAGTACACGTACACTCCTAACACAGAATAATCAGTGATATAGTACACTCCTAGCACAGAATAATCAGTGATACAGTACACGTACACTCCTAACACAGAATAATCAGTAATATAGTACACGTACACTCCTAACACAGAATGATCAGTGATATAGTACACGTACACTCCTAACACAGAATAATCAGTGATATAGTACACGTACACTTCTAACACAGAATAATCAGTTATATAGTACACGTACACTCCTAACACAGAATAATCAGTAAAATAGTACACGTACACTCCTAACACAGAATAATTAGTTATATATTACACTCCTAACACAGAATAATCAGTTATATAGTACACGTACACTCCTTACACAGAATAATCAGTAATATATTACACTCCTAACACAGAATAATCAGTTATATAGTACACTCCTAACACAGAATAATCAGTAAAATAGTACACGTACACTCCTAACACATAATAATCAGTTATATAGTACACTCCTAACACAGAATAATCAGTTATATAGTACCCGTACACTCCTAACACAGAATAATCACTTATATAGTACACTCCTAACACAGAATAATCAGTGATATAGTACACGTACACTCCTAACACAGAATAATCAGTGATATAGTACACGTACACTCTAACACAGAATAATCAGTGATATAGTACACGTACACTCCTAACACAGAATAATCAGTGATATAGTACACGTACACTCCTAACACAGAATAATCAGTGATATAGTACACGTACACTCCTAACACAGAATAATCAGTGATATAGTACACGTACACTCCTAACACAGAATAATCAATATATCAGTACACTCCTAACACAGAATATCAGTGATATAGTACACGTACACTCCTAAACACAGAATACATAACACAGAATAATCAGTTATATAGTACACGTACACTCCTAAACACAGTATATACACTCCTAACACAGAATAATCAGTTATATAGTACACGTACACTCTTAACACAGAATAATCAGTGATATAGTACACGTACACTCCTAACACAGAATAATCAGTGATATATATACACTCCTAACACAGAATAACAGTGATATAGTACACGTACACTCCTAACACAGAATAATCAGTGATATAGTACACGTACACTCCTAACACAGAATAATCAGTGATATAGTACACGTACACTCCTAACACAGAATAATCAGTGATATAGTACACGTACACTCCTAACACAGAATAATCAGTTATATAGTACACGTACACTCCTAACACAGAATAATCAGTTATAACATACACTCCTAACACAGAATAATCAGTTATATAGTACCCGTACACTCCTAACACAGAATAATCAGTTATATAATACCCGTACACTCCTAACACAGAATAATCAGTGATATAGTACACGTACACTCCTAACACAGAATGATCAGTGATATAGTACACGTACACTCCTAACACAGAATGATCAGTGATATAGTACACGTACACTCCTAACACAGAATAATCAGTGATATAGTATACGTACACTCCTAACACAGAATAATCAGTGATATATACACGTACACTCCTAAACACAGATATAGTATAACTCCTAACACAGAATAATCATATAGTACACGTACACTCCTAACACAGAATAATCAGTTATATACTACCCGTACACTCCTAACACAGAATAATCAGATATCAGAATAATCAGTTATATAGTACACCCCTAACAAATAATAATAAGTAATATAGTACAAGTACACTACTAACACAATAATCAGTTATATAGTACACTCCTAACACAGAATAATCAGTGATATAGTACACGTACACTCCTAACACAGAATAATCAGTGATCAGTAACACAGACACTCCTAACACAGAATAATCGTACACTCCTAACACAGAATAATCAGTGATATAGTACACGTACACTCCTAACACAGAATAATCAGTTATAGTGATATAATCAGTTATATAGTACACGTACACTCCTAACACAGAATAACACAGAATAATCAGTGATATAGTACACGTACACTCCTAACACAGAATAATCAGTTATATAGTACACGTACACTCCTAACACAGAATAATCAGTGATATAGTACACGTACACTCCTAACACAGAATAATCAGTGATATAGTACACGTACACTCCTAACACAGAATAATCAGTGATATAGTACACGTACACTCCTAACACAGAATAATCAGTGATATAGTACACGTACACTCCTAACAGAGAATAATCAGTGATATAGTACACGTACACTCCTAACACACAGATAATACATCAGTAACACAGAATATAGTATATAGTACACTCCTAGCACAGAATAATCAGTTATATAGTACACGTACACTCCTAACACAGAATGATCAGTGATATAGTATACGTACACTCCTAACACAGAATGATCAGTGATATAGTACACGTACACTCCTAACACAGAATAATCAGTTATATAGTACACTCCTAGCACAGAATAATCGGTTATATAGTACACTCCTAACACAGAATAATCAGTTATATAGTACACGTACACTCCTAACACAGAATAATCAGTGATATAGTACACGTACACTCCTAACACAGAATAATCAGTGATATAGTACACGTACACTCCTAACACAGAATGATCAGTTATATAGTACACGTACACTCCTAACACAGAATAATCAGTGATATAGTACACGTACACTCCTAACACAGAATAATCAGTGATATAGTACACGTACACTCCTAACACAGAATGATCAGTGATATAGTACACGTACACTCCTAACACAGAATGATCAGTTATATAGTACACTCCTAACACAGAATAATCAGTGATATAGTACACGTACGCTCCTAACACAGAATAATCAGTGATATAGTACATCTTCAGTGATATAGTACACGTACACTCCTAACACAGAATAATCAGTTATATAGTACACTCCTAACACCGAATAATCAGTGATATAGTACACGTACACTCCTAACACAGAATAATCAGTGATATAGTACACGTACACTCCTAACACAGAATGATCAGTGATATAGTACACGTACACTCCTAACACAGAATAATCAGTGATATAGTACACGTACACTCCTAACACAGAATGATCAGTTATATAGTACACGTACACTCCTAACACAGAATGATCAGTGATATAGTACACGTACACTCCTAACACAGAATAATCAGTGATATAGTACACGTACACTCCTAACACAGAATAATCAGTGATATAGTACACGTACACTCCTAACACAGAATAATCAGTGATATAGTACACGTACACTAACACAGAATAATCTAACACAGAATAATCAGTGATATATAGTACACGTACACTCCTAACACAGAATAATCAGTGATATAGTATACGTACACTCCTAACACAGAATAATCAGTGATATAGTACACGTACACTCCTAACACAGAATAATCAGTGATATAGTACACGTACACTCCTAACACAGAATAATCAGTAATATAGTACACGTACACTCCTAACACAGAATGATCAGTGATATAGTATACGTACACTCCTAACACAGAATGATCAGTGATATAGTACACGTACACTCCTAACACAGAATAATCAGTGATATAGTACACGTACACTCCTAACACAGAATGATCAGTGATATAGTACACGTACACTCCTAACACAGAATGATCAGTGATATAGTACACGTACACTCCTAACACAGAATGATCAGTGATATAGTACACGTACACTCCTAAACACAGTGATATATACACGTACATAACACAGAATGATCATATATAGTACACGTACACTCCTAACACAGAATAATCAGTGATATAGTACACGTACACTCCTAACACAGAATAATCAGTGATATAGTACACGTACACTCCTAACACAGAATGATCAGTGATATAGTACAGTGATATAGTACGTACTCCTAACACAGAATAATCAGTGATATAGTACACGTACACTCCTAACACAGACACTCCTAACACAGATCAGTGATATATAGTACACAGAATATCATAGTACACTCACTCCTAACACAGAATGATCTACACACAGTACACTCCTAACACAGAATAATCAGTATATAGTACACGTACACTCCTAACACAGAATAATCAGTTATATAGTACACGTACACTCCTAACACAGAATGATCAGTGATATAGTACACGTACACTCCTAACACAGAATAATCACTCCTAACACAGAATGATCAGTGATATAGTACACGTACACTCCTAACACATCAGTGATATAGTACACGTACACTCCTAACACAGAATGATCAGTGATATAGTACACGTACACTCCTAACACAGAATAATCAGTTATATAGTACACGTACACTCCTAACACAGAATAATCAGTGATATAGTACACGTACACTCCTAACACAGAATAATCAGTGATATAGTACACGTACACTCCTAACACAGAATAATCAGTGATATAGTACACGTACACTCCTAACACAGAATAATCAGTGATACAGTACACGTACACTCCTAACACAGAATGATCAGTGATATAGTATACGTACACTCCAAACACATTGTTTAATTTCTTCTGATGACTCTGTAATGGTAGACCGTTTTATAGACTATGTGGACGTGATCGTGGTAACAAACGGTTCTTAACGCCCAAATGGGTCATCTATTGTATTCCTTATTCAGTTAACACTAACTTACTGACTCATACTTTCTATTTCTTATCCAATTAACGGAAGAAATAACAATCCTTCATCTGTATGTTTACTAACATTTATATAACACTAAAATTATCCCGAACTCTTAGACTTGTAACACTTCATCTGTATTGCTTATTTATCTTCCTCTTACCCTAAAAATCACTCCTTACAAATAATATTCCATCTGTATTGCCAATTCTATTAACTTAAGCCCCGACTTTATCTTTGTATATAGTATTCAGTAAACCGTATACTCAACCAAACACCTTAATTCCTTATATAATTAATTTCTAACCCAAACCCTTAAATACAACCTCTGTTTTCTTCTCCAAAGCCTTATCACTCTTCAGCTGCTTCAATTGACCCTATCAACCCTATGACGAGATTTTTAAAACTGAAGTGAGCGCAATTCAGGTTGTTAATGGTCGGTCATCGAACTCTCATTCGACGCCTTTTTAACACTAACCATAATAAGACTTTCTCTTAAGTCACTATTCAATCTACCTTAACACTAACCATAATAAGACTTTCTCTTAAGTCACTATTCAATCTACTTTAACACTAACCATAGTAAGACTTTCTCTTAAGTCACTATTCAATCAAACTTAACACTAACCATAATAAGACTTTCTCTTAAGTCACTATTCAATCTACTTTAACACTAACCATAGTAAGACTTTCTCTTCAGTCACTATTCAATCAAACTTAACACTAACCATAATAAGACTTTCTCTTCAGTCACTATTCAATCAAACTTAACACTAACCATAATAAGACTTTCTCTTCAGTCACTATTCAATCAAACTTAACACTAACCATAATAAGACTTTCTCTTCAGTCACTATTCAATCAAACTTAACACTAACCATAATATGATTCAGTAAAGCCGAACCCTAAGTAGACTTCCTCATTCAAATACCCCTAAACTAAACCATTAAAAAGCTTTATCCTTCATTTAATCTACCTTTACTAAAAGCTATATCTGAATCAGCATTTCTCTTTATTTTATTTAGGCAAGCGTATCCCTGATAATTCTACAACGTCTTTGACAGTAAATTAACCATCCCTCTGAACCTCTTCAGCTAGTTAATATCCATGCATTGTTATTTGGTATACAGATTGGCATTATGAACGATTTTTCATCGGTGGGTCGGACTATTATTTCGAGGGGCAATTCCGTTGGGTAGAGACCGGTGCGCCCGTCGGTCCTTTTTCAAGGTGGGCAGCAGGACAGCCTCAAATAAACAACACCCGTAATTGCCTTATGTTAATGTGGGAGAACGATGACCTGGTCTGGTCCGACCAACTGTGCAGGCCCCGAGAGTCCACATACTACCTTTGTGAGAAACTGTAAGTATCGATAATACATCAAATCACCAAGTGCGACAAGATGTATGTAATTTTTTTTTATCTTTGTCCTACAACCACACTCGATATAGCTCATAACTGTCGGATAAAGCAATTCGACTTCGGTTAATTGGAAGTACTTTATCCATCCATACGAATATCGCGCGCTTGTTCTGTTTCTGGCGGAACTAATTTCAGCGAGCACCGCGAGTATTTAGTGCAGAAATTATAGACGGTTAATGAGTCCAATTAAAGCAACTAATTGCATCTGTGATCCGCCTTGAACAACTCGGTTGCTGGAACTTTTATCGCAGAACGGACTTTCAAACCTTCACGTGAAAATAAAAACATTTTAAAGTTTTGATATTTCAAATGAATTCGGCAAAAATATGCATTTGTTTTTTAAACTCACTTTTTCAAGTGTCTAGAAGTAAAAAGAAAAATCATAACGAAAAAAAACCAATTTAGATAAAAGCACATTCGATTCCTTCGTAAGTAAGAAAGTGCATCTAAATTTGGCACTTTCGACGTAGGTAATGATATGACATTATCAAAAATTAAAATATTTACCTATGTAACCCACTGGCCATCTTGAAGCTACTGTTGGTGTAAATTACATCTGTGTTATAGTCTGTGGACTGTACACTGTTGGTGTAAATTACATCTGTGTTACAGTCTGTGGGCTGTACACTGTTGGTGTAAATTACATCTGTGTTACAGTCTGTGGGCTGTACACTGTTGGTGTAAATTACATCTGTGTTACAGTCTGTGGGCTGTACACTGTTGGTGTAAATTACATCTGTGTTACAGTCTGTGGGCTGTACACTGTTGGTGTAAATTACATCTGTGTTACAGTCTGCGGGCTGTACACTGTTGGTGTAAATTACATCTGTGTTACAGTCTGCGGGCTGTACACTGTTGGTGTAAATTACATCTGTGTTACAGTCTGCGGGCTGTACACTGTTGGTGTAAATTACATCTGTGTTACAGTCTGTGGGCTGTACACTGTTGGTGTAAATTACATCTGTGTTACAGTCTGTGGGCTGTACACTGTTGGTGTAAATTACATCTGTGTTACAGTCTGCGGGCTGTACACTGTTGGTGTAAATTACATCTGTGTTACAGTCTGCGGGCTGTACACTGTTGGTGTAAATTACATCTGTGTTACAGTCTGCGGGCTGTACACTGTTGGTGTAAATTACATCTGTGTTACAGTCTGCGGGCTGTACACTGTTGGTGTAAATTACATCTGTGTTACAGTCTGCGGGCTGTACACTGTGGTGTAAATTACATCTGTGTTACAGTCTGCGGGCTGTACACTGTTGGTGTAAATTACATCTGTGTTACAGTCTGCGGGCTGTACACTGTTGGTGTAAATTACATCTGTGTTACAGTCTGCGGGCTGTACACTGTTGGTGTAAATTACATCTGTGTTACAGTCTGTGGACTGTACACTGTTGGTGTAAATTACATCTGTGTTACAGTCTGTGGGCTGTACACTGTTGGTGTAAATTACATCTGTGTTACAGTCTGTGGGCTGTACACTGTTGGTGTAAATTACATCTGTGTTACAGTCTGTGGGCTGTACACTGTTGGTGTAAATTACATCTGTGTTACAGTCTGTGGGCTGTACACTGTTGGTGTAAATTACATCTGTGGTACAGTCTGTGGACTGTACACTGTTGGTGTAAATTACATCTGTGTTACAGTCTGTGGACTGTACACTGTTGGTGTAAATTACATCTGTGTTACAGTCTGTGGGCTGTACACTGTTGGTGTAAATTACATCTGTGTTACAGTCTGTGGGCTGTACACTGTTGGTGTAAATTACATCTGTGTTACAGTCTGTGGGCTGTACACTGTTGGTGTAAATTACATCTGTGTTACAGTCTGTGGACTGTACACTGTTGGTGTAAATTACATCTGTGTTACAGTCTGTGGACTGTACACTGTTGGTGTAAATGTCATGGTTTTGGATTACTTGTAATCAAAGCTACTTGTTTTTGGGATTTATGTTATTGCCTTTTGTTATAGATTACAATGTGGTTTTCCACAAGCTATTAAAATACACTGAAATATAGAATAATTAATTACACAATGACCAAGTATTTAAAATGATTGAACCATTTCATTTCAGTGGTAACACTACAACTGGACCAGGGATTATAGGATAAATTTGGACCGTTGGACGACCGAGAATATTTGTTGTAATTACGTTTAAAATAAAGTAAATGTCTTTAAATTTGAAACATCGTCAAATGATTTAGCTAACACAGCAAGGTTTAAAATGAATAACACAATCAAAACGTGAACTTCAGGGTGAAATCTTGTAAATGTTACAACAAAGGAGTTGATGACACGACTGATCACCTTACAATATAGAGCACTCCCCGCCACATCTAAATGGTGACACTACCTCTGGTCAAATTTCCCCTCGGTCGTCTCTGGGGTTCCAACATTCATGTCCTTAAAGATCAGCTGTATGATGCATTTAATGCGTTGTCCGATTCTTCTTCATCTAACTGTGATTTTGTTTTTGAAAGGTGCTATTCACTTTTGTGTCTGTTGAACAATTTTAGATGCGGCGATGTTTAATCATAAACGAACTGACGAAATAAACCAGAACTGGTTTCTCCAGTTTTTTTTGGGTTTTTTTTTTCTTCCTTTTTATGCATTTTTTAAACGTCATTAAGGAACCATAAACAAATAAATAGCAATCATTTGTATCGCTATTGCTCTGGCAATTCTACTTTAAACGATGTTAAATTCAACTCAATAGCTGATATTATATTTTATTGATATCATTGTTTTAAATCAAAGCAAAAATATACATTGAAATCCCATTTTTTCTGTTCATCAATCCAGTAGTCTTCCATATGCTTACGGTATACAGTTATCTTTCAACATTTAAATACATAATTTATCTATCCATTTAATGTAATTGTTTCAGATCACAAAGTCAATGATACGGTACATGTAGATTAAAGACAGCATCTGAAAAAATATATCTATCACGTGACATAACATCTTACTTTCCACATTACTTATGTATCGCTCTTCTAACGGTTATCTCCCCTCCACTATCTACCACACTTGTGAAGCCACGTTTAAAGAAGACTTTTAATGAAAAGATTTCCTCAAATGAAGTTTCTTTATTGGCTTCAAAGCTAAGTATTTTGGTATATCTGACGGGTTCTGTTAGTACTATAAATAAGTTAAGTCGGTTGTTTACCCCGTCTGTACCTGGGGTCTAGAAGGGCGAAACAGTCGTATAATGCAGGTAAGTCCGTTGTTAAGTCTTTCTGTACCTGAGCTCTAGAAGGGAAGGACGAAACAGCTGAAAAATGCAGCTAAGTCCGTTGTGTAGTCCTTTGTGTTTAGTTTTTGTGAAATTTGATTCCGATGATAAATTAAGCCCAATCAATCCTACAAAATCAACGAAGATAAAAAAAAAATCAGGATTTTTCAGTCTTTATTGAACGTCATTATCCAGGCGTCATGTGATTAATTTACCTCTGAATATATCTCATCTAACCTCTGATCACCAGACAGCTTTCTGGCATGGTGAGATAAAATGAAAATTGTATGTTCGATTCAAACACAATTCTCAAGCAATCCTAGAATCTAACTGATCTGAAACTTGTCATTTGAAACACAGTCAAGACATCTGATTCAAATTCTGTATTTGCCATGAGCCATACGACTCCTACGCACAAAAGCAATACAAATACATAAACATATGTAATACAATACATATATAAGTACTTCCACTCATTTATACTTACACTCGCACACACCCACACACACACCCTCACCCACACACCCACGCTCACACCCATCCTCACACACACACACACTCTCACACCCACCCTCACCCACACACCACACACCCACCCTCACACACACACACCCACCCTCACACACACACCCACCCACCCACACACACACACCCTCTCACATACACACACACGCACGAACGAGCATCCTCTCACCCGCTCATACATATTAATTGTTCAATTTATTAGTTAAACAAAATATCTGAGGCTTATAGGTACCCGAAAGTACAATGATAATGTACACATATAACAATTAAACGAAACTTTAAATGGACAGCAGAGTGACATCAGAGTATAAACATTGTACATATGTATATAAAACCATGTTCCCTAAGGTATAGTCATGGATGTTGTAAGTCAATTAAAACTTATTAATTACGTCTCTGGCATGTTCCATACAGTAAAATATGATATTGTATGTATATTAAACTAATTAAATATAAATATTAATTACGTCTTTTGCATGCTAAGTATAAATATTTCCCTAAATTGGCCAATTCTCTAACATTATTTGTACTTAGATGTTGTATGAATTTAAAAATGGAGGGTTTTCTATAATAGTATGGTTTGACTAATTTGTGCCTTAAATCGTTATAGACAGTGGACAGTTTCCCCTGACCGAATTCTACTTCTGAGTCTATGATGCAGGACAGTCTTACCTTTCCGGAATATCCGTTCTTATTCTCCAGATATTTTTTTCTCGTAAACCTAATTTTATTATTTTGGGGGTGGTTTGCGGACGCGGTGATAGCCTTGTGAGTTTTCCCGATACTCTGGTTTCCTATCATAGTAAGATCCTTCACGCACATCCATCCAAGCCAACAATAGTTAACGCTATCAACTAAAAAATCAAAAATGATATTTCGCTCGTGCGGTATGTTTACTTTCACTGCCCTACTTGTGTCCCATTTAATGTAGATCGACCTTGTGTGGCGTCACTCTTTCCAGAGTCCGCTCATCCGTTTCTTTTTATATAACGAACTGTCTGTATCTGGTTTTGTGATTTACACTACATCTTGGTGTTTTGGGGTGTGTTGCTAATCACAAGACGAAGCCTAAAGATACTGATGTGAAATTCAAGAAAGAAATTAAATCTAATTAAATAAAGGTAGAAAACACGATGGTCGCCCAGCAGATGTATAAACACGGATATCAGTGTTGTTGACTTCCTGTCACTTTGGGTACGATCATGAATATAAACATTTTTGCAGAATGTAAACAGTTATAATTGAAAAATAAAGAGCAGCGCTCTTTTTGTTTTAATTTAATAACTTATTTATTCTTTATTTTTGAAGCGTAAATAGGTTTGATGTTGTAAAGTCGAGTAATGTTAATGAGTCATTACAATATTGTCAGACAGACGAATCGACGGGAAGATAAGTCTGTTTGCTATGGAGTTGCACGATAACCGAGAGCTGAACGTAGGCATTGGGGAGGTACGAGACCTTCCGAGTGTAGCTTCCCGGAATCCTCGGAACAATAATTATACTACCATGTCATTTCACAATTGTTGTTCATAATTGAAAACAAGTCTGGCATGTTTTTTATTTATCAATGTTTATAAAGAAATTGAAAAAAAATGGATAATCATCCCACAAAAACTGAAAATAAAGTAAAAAAAAACCTGGGGTTTGAAGATAATTTTGCCATTAAATATTGTGATCGGAAAACTTATCACGACTTTTTTTTTGAACATGGCAAAATGTATTAAAACAATTTATCATAAACCTTGAAGAGGTCAAAGTTTCTTGTATATAAATGTTCATAAACATATATCATACATGACGAAATCTTCAGGTCTACACAAATGGTGGTGGTTTAACCACGACAGCCTTCTTTGTAGCATCATTGAGGGCATCATAAGGCTACCACTGTGCTTTCTGGGATGGCTCTCCAACCCAGTGAATAAGATATTCCTTTCCAGTTTTGGATTGTCTTTGGGCTATGATCCTCTTTATCTTATAATGTCTGTCTCTGGCTTTGGAGGATTCAGAAGAGCTATCCTGAAAACTGCAATATCGGAAAGGTTTGCCAACATTCCGTACAGGACGTCCTTGAACAGTAGCTAAAGGTTTTGGAATGGAAGTCATGACATCACTACTATTATCATTTGTATGCAATTCATCCTCATTTTCAGAGACAACACTATCATGAAGCTCGATTGACACTGGATCTGTTTGAGTTGGTGATTCCATTTTCACTGTTGTTGTAAATTTAAAGAAACTGGTTGGAGTATATTTCTTCTGTATCTGAGGTGAGTTGTTCATGTATTTCGGGTGGGGTACCGCATCTGTTCATGATAGAAATTAGTCATTTCAAGTGCTGCACCAGCCGAACCTGGCAACCAACATGGCTGAGCACGTCGTCGTGGGGAAAAGTTCACACACTCTTTAATTGTATCGGTACGATAATGTCAATCAGTCATTTTCATGTGTTAATACATCGATCACCGAGTATATAGAGTCTACCTGTATCGCAGAACGACTTGAACCTTAGGATTCTCCACCATGTGATCGGGGAATTTAGTAGGGTAACAAATGACGATAAACAAACCTGTCCAGACTGCTGAGTCCTTCATTTCAATTTCTTTTATTCCTTTTTCGCAACTTTTCATACAAAAGAGTTCCAATATAAGTAAAACTAAATGCGGAATCGTACCTAATCCAGTGAACGATGGAGCGATAAGACCAAGCAATTATCTCCCATCACTTCACCCATTATATATATACACAACAATATGTTTCTGGAATTCGAAACTTACCCAATAATTCAATGAAATAGATGGCGGAGTTATTTATGAGAAGTCGGTCATCGCTTTGGTCTGAGTTTTCAAAGATATAATATCGGCTACGACAAATAAGAGACAGAAAATGACAAGGAATGAGGCACCAAGCCCCCCTAAGGATTTGGAGCTCACTCTGTCATCATACCAACTCATCTTCGCTCGTTTATATAAAATTGTGCTATTCTTTAGAGTCTCAAGCTCCTGTTTCAATTCGTGGACTTTCTTCATGATTTTCCCAATATCAGCATTTGGTGGCAATTCCCAAGATATATTAATAGCACAAGTATTTCTGTTAATGGCCGAGGCTAGAATTGAACCAGAGGACGGCTGTGGAGGGTGGATTGTAGAAGCGACGTTCTGGGTTGTTGTTGCTGTATATATGGCGTCAAGGACGGTAGTAGCGGATGTGCTAACATCGGAGCTTGTGGTGGTATCAGGACCGGAAGTACTGGTTGTGGTAACACTAGAACTTGACGTGGTTAGATCGAGGTTAATGAGAGGATCCAATGTAGGACAAGTGGTCGATTGCGAAAAGCAGACGTCTTCATACGGC